TATAATTTGGGGCACCAACATCATGTGATGTCATTGAATCATATGAGTAGTTACTATTATTAGTATTAGTCCATACACCTGTCCTGTTCTGCAAAGAGATACTTCTCTTCCGTAGTCCCCCAGTCTTGAACGTTGAACCCATGCTCTGTCAAGAAGGCATCCAGGGGCTGCACCTCACATTCATTGTAAAGGTCCGTGTAGCGCTCTTCCTTTTTGAGCACTGAGAGGTCTATCTTCTCGTGCTGTTTGCGCACTGGCTGAGCGTTGTACTCGCGCTTGCTCTCCCAAGTGTTGTTCAGCTCCTGCAAACATGCTGACTCCGACTCGGTGGCCCTTACTACTACCAAGCAAGGACGCTACTAGGGTCTTCTGGCATCGCTACTAGGAGCAAGAACGTTACTAGGGGCTCCTGGCCTTACTACTAGTGAAGTTACTAGTGGCAAGGACGCTTCTCAACTGATTCTCAAATTCTCAACCGGACCAGTTCTGTTTTTTTGAGACTGGAGTCCCCATCCAAGCGAGCCCTTCCGACCCATCGAACAAATCGACGCGCAGCGAGAGAACAACAAAGAACTTGAACCAGGGGCTCCTGGCCGTACTACGAGGAGCAAGTAAGTAACAGTATTTTGCTTCCCGACTCAATCTTCGACCATGGCCCTGGCTATACCGATACCGTTACCTACTTCACTCATCCAATGCCTACTTCGCCCCATTGTTTTCCATCCACGTTGAACGGGTCCGGGACGGTCCGGTGCACTCCAGCGGGACTGCAGCGCGATTTCATTCCAAGATCCACTGCCCTACATCCGATCGTGGTCACACAAACCAAACCACCAACATGAACCCTGACACAAGAACGAAAAAACAACCCACACACACTGATCATCGGAGCTGAGCTATCTCACCTATGTGACCGACGACCGGCCAGCAGGATCAATTCTGCTGCTCGGCTCTGCTCGCAGCAAATCAAGCCACAGCAATTCGTGGCTGTCGCGGTCGTGAAAACTCCAAACCACATGGTTTCAATGAACAGGGCTCGGTCACAGACAGGTCCAGTCTAGTCTAGACAGTCTAGTGTCCAGTCTAGTGTAGTCAGTGTAGTCAAAGTCTAGTCTACAGTCAACAGTCTACAGTGACAGTAGTCAGTAGTCGACAGTCTACAGCACTCTACAGTCTACAGTTGATGGAAGTTCACCTTGAAGTCAACGTGCCATTCATGTGACCGACAAGCAATTCCCTTGGCTTTCTGCCAAATGTATCTAAATGAAAATGTACATTTTGGCAGTCTGCCAACATTCCAATTCCAGGATTCAAAGATGACTCAATCATCCTCTGGAACAAAGACGATCGTCCAACCATCCTCATCCTCCGCCACCGCCACAGGCAACGGCAAAGGCCTTGCAAGTCGCGCAGCAGGAACTGACACCAGGTGTAGGCGCCGGAGCCATTCATCACCGGTGAATGGTTGGTTGAGTTGGTTCAAGATCATCCATCCAATATAGTGCATCGCGCGGCAGTGGATCTTCTGGTCGACCGCTTGCATCGATGTCCAGGTCTCAGCATATAGTGAACGAGAGTGAACACAGTTAATATTTAAAGTCCACGGCTATTCAAACAACACAATCGACAATTGCTCACACTCGCACAGTGGCATCCCAACCCAAACAACGCACAAACAGTCAAACAGCCCAGTTGTTTCCATTCAATGTCGCAGACCGGCCATCATCGTAGGCGCATTGAACACTGAACTTCAAGTCGTGTTTCTTGACCTGCGGCGAATCCTCGCAGGCAAAGGACTTGAAGCAAATCGCTGCAAGCGCATCATCATCCACTGCCATCTCCCAGGTTCCGCAGGAGCCGATAGCGAGGAGTTTCGTCCTGCAAAGAACAGATCAACTTGAAACACCCTGACCCTCCCTGAAACAAAGTGGAATACAGCCTGTTCGTAGAGGAAAACAGTCTTGCAAGGGGCCATGTTTGTTGGATGGAGGGTAAGTTGAATGAGATGAAATTTCCAATGAACAATGTCTGACTCTGACTCTGACTGTTTGACTTAAACTCAATCAGGCTTGCCGCGCCTCGTTTCACGTTGGAATACGATTTGGCCTTCCTTGGAAGGGGCTGAACCTTGCTGATCTCCACCTCCACTGAAGTGACCGTGCACAAGGAACACCCACTCGTGTCGTCTTGAGCTCGAGTGGTGATAGAATTTGAACACGGACACACGCGGCATGGCCAATCGAGGGATGAGTCTGATGCGTGCGGTCAATTGATATCAGTTGAGTCAGTTGCGTGTTGCAAACTGTAGTCACTCCCTTAGATTACTGTCAACCAGTTGAGGAGGCTCTGCTACTGTAGTTCATTGTTGGTTACTGTAGTTGGACAGTGACATGGATAGATGATCGATGGAAGTTGTCATTCACCAACCATGTGGCTCCAAAATCGCTGCAATTGAAGCAATCGAATTCTAAAGAATGAATCATGAATCGTGCGCGCACCCTGACCGGAGAGTCCTCATTCTCATCCTTCATCGTGTTCAGTGTTCTTTGAGCAATTCCTCCGAAGTTCTTGACTCTGGTCACCTTGGAGAGAGATACTGAGAGACTGAATATGATAATATGACTCATGCCCGTCGAGGTCGATCGATGTCCGGCGATGTCAACGATGACCAATGTCCGTCGTACTCAAAACAATGAAACATGAAGAGCTGCCAGCAGTCTTTTGCGCTCATGGCCATTCAGGGCTCACTGGTTGATTCCATCCGCTAGATTCCAAAGACTCATTTGACTGGAGTCGATTAAAAGCCCCAAAGTGATCTAGATCAGGTCCGTATCTTGCAAGTCCCAGTCCTCCACTTTGGATAATGGGGGCTATTGGGGGCCGTTTCAACCAATAAGGGCCATTGGGACCATTCAAAACCATTGGGGACCATTGACTCTGAGATCTTCCTCACTTTGGCATCACATTAGAGCTCAAAAGGCAATTGAGGGGGTTTCAGAAATGCCCGGAGTTGTCTCAAAGCTGAAACTGAGTTTCACATACGCACTCATTGACATATCATTGTCCGTGTGCAACAAAACTCAAATACTCTAAAGACAGATCATGAGCCAGTGCACAATTAAGGCCTCCAAGTTGTTGATAAAATTCTCCCTGCAAGGATCATCTTCACCATCTTCATTGCGTTCATCAAAGTACCGTCCGTCATCCAAATCGCCTAAGAGGATTTCTTGACCTGAGTGCAAGCTGACTGACTTCCAATCTGATGGTCAACAATTGAACAGTCCGACGGACAGGCAGAATGCAAAATCGATGGGCAGAGATGGAGGAACTTCCAAAGCAACGGACTAGGAATGATCTTAGACTCATTAGCCCATTGAACATACAGTCCGACGAGAAAAATCACTTAAAGTGACTGAATCTTATGCGCTCCAGAAGGTCGATGATGAGATCAAGGGCCTGCAAAGCCGTGCGAGTTCAATGGGACGATGGGGAACAAACTTCAAGTTGAAGCTTACCAGCTGGCCTCAATCTTTTGCTCAGCAGACAAAGGGGGCATGCTGAAGTCCGGCGAGAAAGGTCAATGTCCGTTGGGTCCGGAGGATTTGAGTTAAAAGCTGCGGTCCAATGGCAAATGAGAAGGGGCCTTTAGCCAAGGCTATCTGCCACAGTACTATTTTGAAATACCACACTACTATTGTCCGTTCTTATCCCGCTTGCTCAACTCTTCTTCAAGTTCTTCACTCATGACTGAGATTATTTGAACTTGTGCAAACAATTTTTGAAGCCGTTGGCATCTTTAGAGCGGGTGAGGAGTTGGTCGTTGTGACCGAGGTTGTTGTGACTTCCTCGTTTTTTTGAGGAACTTCATGACAGCCTTCTGTACAACATTGTAAGCCTTCCCACATTTGCAGGGCATGACTTTCCTTTCAATCTCATCTTGAATTTCCCTCAAAGTCATGTTTGGCCCTCTCTCACTCGACATAACTTTTTTCACCTCAAGCCAGCTGTCATTCACAGAAGTCAGGAATCCTGAGGCCTTAGGTTCCGGCTTCACTTTTCAGTCTGTTCTTATCCCGCTTGCTCAACTCTTCTTCAAGTTCTTCACTCATGACTTGAGCCCAGTCTGTCAATCAATGAGCAAAGTGAGCGGCCTATCAAGGAGCAAAGTGAGCGGCAACACAATCCAAACTCATGGACAATGTGACAATGGACAATCAAGTCGGTCGGCTTGGACTCTGGTCACTTGGGTCAAAATCCGAATCACGCTTGGTCCGGCTAAATCTACAGCCTACACAACTGGCCAAAGCCAGCCAGCCGCTGCCAAGCTTGGTCCGGCGAAATCTACAGCCTACACAACTGGCCAAAGCCAGCCAAAGCTCGCCGCTGCCAAGTTTTGTCCGGCGAAAACTGGTCTGCAGCCTACACAACAATTTGGCCAAAGCCAGCCAAAGCTCCTCCACTGCCGCTGCCACGTGACGGTTTTGCTGCTGCCGAATCCACTGGCTGACCCATTGCAGGCTGACCCACGGGCACAGGCTTTGGAGGAGGCACAGGCTTTGCGCTCCCATTCGAAGCAGGCGCAGTGGGCTTCCTAGGAACCATTGGGCTGGACAAGAACGATTTGGACAAGAATCTCCGGACTGTCAGATGAATGCGTCCAAGTCACTTGCTCTTCATCTCCCAATCACGCAGGTGGTCTGGCTTTGCTAGCGGAGCAAAGCTTGGAGTCAAGCGCCTTTGCTTGACCCAAGCAAACCTCAGTAGTCCATGTCAGATGTCCGCCGCTAGATTGCTAGATTAGTCCAATGATTAAAGTGTCAGCCAAGAGGCACATTCTTCAGCAGGAAATCCTTGTGCGCTTTGTTCCTGCACACGACCACGCAACGAGTGTTCTCGCTCAGTCCGGCGATGATCCCATAGCCAGCCCTTAGATTCATGGATCCATGAACAAAGTCTGGGACAGCGCACAAACCCAAAGTGCACATTGCACATCAATCACTTTAACCGAGAGGCTCTGGGCTCAGGTCAACAAATACTTCAGCACCGAATACATGGATGAGCTCTTGCTTGAAGATCGGGGCATGCTCATACGGAAAGCATTGTACCTGACCATCCTGCACCTCCACAAAAGCATCTTCTGTCCCCAGGTCCTGCAGGGTGCCATGCCCGGTGAAATTTACATCAGCTGACTGAGTTAAAATTTGGACTTATAAAGTTAAAGTTAAGCTTCAATTCAGGGACCTCTTCATCTCGATCTCCAGCACTGTCGTCGTTCTGAAAGATGGCTGCGTAGTCAGTGAGGGAGCACAGAGGGATCCTTGTCACATTCTTGCACTTAATGATTAGTGGGGAATAGTGGGGACATGAATCGCAATGGTTGGCTCCAAGGCACGTGTTCGACGGCAACAGCGGAATAGGGAATCTCGAAAAGAAGGTATCTGACTTGAGATACTTCATCGTCGTCTTCGCTTCGGTCAGACCCTTCTGGCTCCGAAGCATGATCTTCTCTTCCACGTTGCCCGCAAAAGGTCGGCGACCTCGACGGAATCTTGATAGAAGGTCTTGAGGGTCAGGATCCACAAGAGCCGTGGCCAGGTTGTACACCTTCGAAGCCAAAGCCTTTCGGGTCACCTTGGGACAGTGTGCATTACTTGAATTGAGGGCTGGCTGCATTTGTTCGTTTGTATTCCAAACTGTCAAGTCACCTCCATGGGTTTCACCTTTCCCTGCGAACCCCTCACACAAATTCCAAGGATGTTCCGTCCGGAGGTGTGCTCGTCCGGCTCTTTTGCTTGCAGATTCTCAAAGGTGTCCACCACAGTCTTCAATCCTTGGAATCACTTGTGTGTCCGTCGGACCTTTCAAACAAACACGTCGGACATCGTCGGACAACTGCCGAGACTCTTGACTCCGAAATACCCGGCCCTGTCCCAGCATAGGGGTTCAGTCTACGCTTCTTCGCCGCCTCCCAATTGATCGCACCATCTCCGGCGACAGAGTAGAAGTACAGCTTCCTCTTCCTCTCTTCCATCATCTTCACCCTCCGCAACTTTGGAATCAGTGTGTCGTCAAGAGGGTTGACCACGATCTCAACTCGTGAGAAGACAAAGTCCCTGACAGCATCGTCCTCGTGCTTCGTCGCCTTGAGGTTGAACTGAGCCAGTTCCTCTTTGTACTCCTCCTCCGAACCAATGCTCAACTTGTTGATCACCTCCAGTCCGGAGTGAAGTTCTCGAGCGGGCTCAACTTCAGCCACGGCTACCTTAGGGAAATCAGTCTCATATTTTGCACGGCAGTCTTGGATTGCCTTCCCAAGCACATCATCCTTGAGGCAGGTAAGAGTGAGAGCTTTCCCAGGAACAGATTCCTTTGCCAGCTTGCACATTGCAACCTCAAACGCGTTGCGTGCTAATCGTGTCAATAAGTTCTTCAAAGGACCAAATGTCACGAAAGTGCTCACGTTGCAAGTTTCCACACCTTCTTTGTCTGATCCAGCTTCTGATCCACCTTCGTCCAAGTCTTGGTCTGGGTCCGTCTTGATAAAAGATCCGTCCGGCGATACGTTCATCTGACCATAGTAAGTCTCTTCCATGAATTCTGTGATCAAGCCATCGAACTCCTTAAAGATCGACTTGAGGTGCACGTAAAGGTCACGACGAATCAAGATCGACTTGAGTCGCGTTGCAACATCAAAGTTGCCATACCCGCATCTGAGTGTGCCAAAATCACGACCTTTTCGAATCCCAGCTCTGTGCTCAAGCATGATTCGTGTCACCTTACTTTAGACAAGTTTGTGACCGCCTGATGAAAGACTCAAACAATGTCCGGCATGCATGGTGTTAATCTTCAACTGTGTTGCGATGTATTGGCACTCAAGGTCTCCAAGGTTTAAGCCTGGCGACAGACAACAAACAATGCTGTGGTACCTTCACTTGAACTGCTGAAAATTGTCACTTATACTGCTGGCAAGGAGCTCACCAATGACCTCAAAGAGGTGACACCATCAAGAAGCGAAGCTCGTCCCATGTGCCCTTCATAAAGATCAAGTGCGGAAGAAGTCTTTGGCATTGTTTGCAGCCGATGGCCCACTCGCACATAGCGATCAACTGTCTCTTGATTCCATTGGCGAATGTTAATCTTTTTCACCTCAGTCAGCTTATTGGTAATTTTCACCATTAATGACTGGAGATTTTCAAATGATGTGTGGCAGAATGTTACAGCAAGGCACTGCCTCTGCAGGGCTAGTGGATTTGACAAGCTCGGAAAGCAAGGTGCACTTGCCTTTGGCAGACATGCCCATCACGTCCCGCTTTTGCTCCTCCTTCGCAAGTCCCTTGAACTTGTAAGCGAGGAAGTCTGCACCAATCCCAGCTGCAACCTGTGTCAGAGACTCGGAATGTCACCGGACTGGAATTGACTGACTGATGTTTCAAGCAGGCAGCTGTTTTGACTGGAATGTCTTGCAAGCTTCTCTGCGCCCAATAAACAACGTGCTCGGACTGGTTCGACTTGATAAGGCTGAAGGGAATGCAGCAGCAAAAATCCTAATTTCAATGATACATCAACCAAAAGATGATTAACTGATCATGAAACTTTGCCTTGCAATGCAACTCAAATGTCTTTATCACACTGTACCCGCCAAGCAGCCCAGCGTCACCATTGCAGCGTTGAAGCTTTTTCAGATCCGGGCTTTGGCTCCGATTCACCTCAATTTGTTCCTGAATCACCTGACAAAGGTTGAACGGTGTCTTGTCCCATTCATCAATGGCCACCTTGATACGTCTTGCTTGGAAGCAGCCTGGATACGCAAAACTCTCTAAGTGGAGCTGCGTGATGCTCACTGACCCGATCACTGAGCTACCAGAGTCCAGCATCTCTTGGGTCAATGCAGGACAACAAGCTGCAGAGCTGTGACTGTCTATCACACTGAGACTACTCAGCATTGTGCTCATTTCACTCATCATGTCAGGAGATGCAAGAAACTTGGACCAAGCGTCATCGATTCCCAGGTCCTTAGACGTCACTCAAAGCTGCGAAGCAGTACAAACAGGACATGACAGTAAAAGTTGACAGCTCAAGGTGTATCCAGACAAGAATCCAAGACTGCGGTCTTTGCATGTTTCCGGGCTTCAGCCCATGCTTTGCTAGCATCACCGCTCATGGTGTCAAAGTCCGGTGGATTGATCTAAGACTGCTGTTCGAGCATCAGCGAATCACATTCATTCTGCACACGCAAAAATTTTGAATATTTGAATTCTCACTCCCGTCCAATAAGAATTGGGTTACAGAAACCATTGGTGACTCTGGCGTGCAAGGCACGTGGAGATGCTCCACGTGGTTTGCACGCTCGTACACAGGTACGAGTGTGCAAACGCTAGTGGAGATGGCATTTCCTTATGGGACGTGACTTGAAGCGGGCACGTGTTTGCCAGGTACGAGCGTGCAAGGCACGTGGAGCATCTCCACGTGCCTTGCACACCAGAGTCATCATTGTTTTCTGTTGTATCATTCTTATGGGACGTAGGAACCCAGGTACGAGCGTGCAAAGCTAGTGGAGGTGACTCTTGTGGGACGTAGGAACCCAGGTACGAGCGTGCAAACCTAGTGGAGGTGACTCTTATGGGACGTAGGAACCCAGGTACGAGCGTGCAAACCTAGTGGAGGTGACTCTTGTGGGACGTAGGAACCCAGGTACGAGCGTGCAAACCACGTGGAGGTGACTCTTATGGGACGTAGGAACCCAGGTACGAGCGTGCAAACCTAGTGGAGGTGACTCTTATGGGACGTAGGAACCCAGGTACGAGCGCGCAAACCTAGTGGAGGTGACTCTTGTGGGACGTAGGAACCCAGGTACGAGCGTGCAAACGAAGTGGAGGTGACTCTTTGAACAAACCGACGGACAAGAGTCGTGCTCTGAGGAGTTTATGCGACGGACAGGCAGAGTTCCAAACCATAGCCTGGGCAAAAAGCAACAGTCCTTAAGACTGTTTCCGACGGACAGGCCGGGGCATACAGGCAAGAGTCTTAAAGACTTTATCCGACGGACAGGCAGAGTTCCAAACCATAGCCTGGG